GTAATAATTTATGAAATAAGAATCCGGGCTTGGTCAATGTGTTTCCACCAAATAAAGTTTTAATATGATGTTATAATTATATGTTATAACTCAAATCCACTCTGAATTTATCTGTATGTGTGTCGATCTCGATTATTTTTGTTATCCAATTAAAAGCCGCTGTTAACACACTTGCCCTCGTCATGACCCGACGCGTTCACCTGTTTCAACAAAATATCAATTTATTTCCACGCGGCTGTCATTTATTTAGTAACTGATTTGTCGTTTTTTTAGTGATCACTATAGTCTAATGTTTAGAATGTCAAAATATGTTCTCTTATTTTAATTTTGAAAGTTTGACTCAGACGATCAATGAAAATAAAACAGTGTAGTGACGTGCCGAGTAACCTGCTAAATAACGAGATTATTCCGACGTCAAATTCTATTTTGTCCAGCGACAGTGTACAAACGTGCGCCGGTGTCGGTGACAATCACGGTGACCAGCTACACCAGAACGGACATGTTTCGCATCTAACTCAACCCAAAGCAAAAAAAATTGATACTATGTGTTCATTATGGTCCATTCTTCCTCGACGAACAAGTACATAAGTGACAATTTAGTCAAAGACGAGAAAACTGCACAAGAAATTTGCCTTATTTACACGTATCGGAAATGCAAGCTGCCATGCGACTTCCCCTTCTGACGTCACAAGGGGAATTTCTGTATGCAAATTATTAACATAACAACATAACAACATAACAATTAATAATATTTATGTATCAATGGATAATTTTAGGCGTGAAAATAGCAGCCATTTCACAGGCACTTTAACTGATGTTGGACAACAGTGTTGTGAGCAGTTCTTTATGACTGGCATTGTTGAAAGACAGAATGCAACTGTCAGCACACCTCATCAGTGAGATATTACTATCATAACCATTCACACCAACAATCCAAGTTTGAGACAAAATTGACATTACAGTACTAAACGTATCATCAGTCCAACATCTAGAAAGTACATGCTTCCCTCTAAAGAAAACCAACACCTTGAATTTTAAATTGTAATAATGCAACTGAATGAATTTGATTAAGTTTTGATTGGAGGTAAAGTGCTCATTGAACTTTTTTAGCTGACAATATATCACTCTTTGTTTCTTCTGCTACCAACTCCCAGATTTTGACGAAGCACTTGTGTAACTCAAGTCACTGCATGGTTTGTACATGCACGTCTCACAACAAAGTGTAGCTGCATTACGTTGGTACATCACTTTTCAATAGTTCAATTTCAGTGTTCAGTAACTGTGCGAATAGTTAAGGAGACAATAACGTAAGAGAGTAAACCTTAAACACAAGTTTATATTTATTGAGAAAATGCACATGTAGAATTTTGTTGTAGGGTAGATCACTAGACACAAAATACAGTTATTAACTGCATAATCAGGGTTCCAAATTTGCTTGGAGGTTCCCCTGAACAAGGATCTGTTTAACTATATACATGAATCCTGCCATAGATCACTAATACAAAGCAGATATGTTTTGCCCAATCCTCCCGACTGCTCACCATTCTCCCAAATTGAATTGCCTGAAAAATCAACAGGTTGTTCTACATTCAACATAATAAATCATAAGGATATCAGCTTTACCATAATCTTCATCATCTACAGCTTTCTGTAATTCTTCCTCCAACTGCTTTATATTATCATCTGCTTCTTTACCTACTTCTGTCATCATGGATACTGCATCTGCCGCGGCATCAGTATAAACTGTGCCTTCTTCTTTTCTCAAAGTCAGACAGTAGTTTTTAAGGTTAGTTGGTTCATCAACGTCGTGTCTGATGCAGATTTCTTTGATTGTGAAATAGCAAGACAATAGCTTTGCCTCTAACAAGTGTCTATGAAATGTTGGTATTTCATCTACATCTAACTGTGCTTCTAATTTGTGAATTGTCTCAGTGGCATAATCTTTAAGTTCCATATCTGAGTGAGGAAATAAAATTCATCATTATACATCAAAAATAATAGAATTTACCTGTTCCAAAACATACATTGTATATCTCCCTTAATTTCAATGTTTAAATTTCCCCTTGTATGGGGTAACCTACATCACCAACATTGACACTTTCAAGGTTATTGACATCACATTTGAACACTTTTCTTTTTGTTTACATTTGACGCAATGTTATCATCCATAAAATTATTACTATAAAACAAAGATGTCATACATGTATGCACTGGCCACCACTGCTTGTTGATCATTATTGATCGCTGTATAGCCTTCATGAATACTTCATAAAAACATGTTCATTGTACGTACATGCTGTTAGGCTATATTTGACGTGTTCAATCATAGAGCAAAGTCCTAAGTTTATGTCAGTTCTATTTTTAGTATCGAATCAATCCCATTCCAATGAACAATGATATTGACAAATTTTTAAAATGTAAACAATGAAGACCATTCTTTTCTTATTAGGTCATAGCCAATATAAACTAATCAAATAATACATGTATTTCAAATTTGTCTAAAACAGATTTTACATGTGTTATATATCTGGCATGGAACCCATTTTGACAACTGCTAGTTATGGCAACTCAAGATATTAAGCAATAACAATAGTAAATGTATTTTCTAGTACAAAAATACCTATTTCAAAATCTTGTTTTTGTAGAACCTCCTTTAGTGCATTGTACTTTTCCTGTAGTTTATCCACTAGCTTGCTATCGTTGGTGATGTCTTTAACAGTTGATTCTAACTGTTTCTGTGTCTCTTCTCCATTGCCAATCAACTCTTTTACCTCATTTGCAAGCCGTTTTGCTTCCACAAAATTTCTTCCTGTGTCAATACAAGTGTATCTTAATTACAGTTGAAACATATCGCCTGCATGTTTTGTCCAATTCTTTTTGTGGAGGTTTACATCAGGTTAAGAGTTAATACACTAACTGCAGCCACAATTGCTAAGGGATCTAGGCATGTGCTGAAATATATAAATCTTTGTGTTTGAAGAGAGATTAGGGAAGTTGCATTCACGTTAGTCGGGACCCACTTGAGACTAACTTGCTTGTGCCGAAATCACGCCTTCATTCTTCAACCTATTGTTTGACCCAAACATAGAAAACAATACGCATATGATGCTAATAATAATTGCTATATTGAAATTATATATATTTACTGTTATGGTATTTATTATGAGTCATCGTGCACATGAACGATATGAATCAGTATATGTTCTCTTAAATTCACCACCCAGTGTGTGATTTTTGCTCGTGCTGAGTGTTCAGGCAGCAAATCTCGACACTTGCCGAGTTTCTGTCCTGAGATCAAGTTTTTTTCGGCATGTGCCAACTTGGTCCTGAGTCTTTACATTGTAGATATGTTAGTCTAAGAGGTAAAAACCTCCAGTACTCTCAATATGAAATGCATGGAAAGGTGAGGGCAAACATAGCTACTTCTCATTTTTTATATTTTTTAGTCAAAACATATTTTATGCATTTTATATATTTACATGTATGCAAAAAGTGAATGCAACTTTGTGTGTGGCATATGGAAGTAATGACTATTGTCTGTGTTGTGTGCATTTGTATTACTGTTATTCAAATCTTAAAGTCAATTGCTCTACTCCATAATTAATCATAGATAAGAAATAGGTCTATAAGTCTATATACAGCTAATACTGAGAAGTAAGAAATATAATATTGTTGTCATTAAATATTTAGACTAGTAAAATCTAAGACTCTAGTGTCTTTGGTATGATAAACTAGTAAACCTTATAGAATGGATTCAGTAAGCTATAAACCAAATGTTGTGTCATTATCATAACAATTCAAAAATGATGAGTTTATCTTTAAATTTTTGTATGACTGCAAAAAGATAAACCTGTGTTTTATATATTTTATATTATAAACAGCTTTCTTGCACTATACAGATTGACATTTGAACTTGAAGTTAATCCATAGACCCTGCCACAACAGACTGTGGGATCTATATGCCTAAACTAAGAAGCTGTATTGAGCACTCATGCCATGTTTAAACAATGGAATTTCATTTCTATTGGGGAAACGGAACATTATTTTTTTTATTTACTGGTTTAGAAGTCAAATATGTACAAAATACACTAGCACACACAAATTAAATAGATTTCAAATGAACACCTGGGATGGAAGTAGGGGAGTGGCCATTACCTGTAACAGCTAATTTTTTGGCTTCATTCAGACTGTTGATTTGTTCTTCAATGTCATTCACTTTCTTCCTCAATGATGTCACCAAGGTTTGTAATTTAAGAACATGTGTTGTTTTTTCTTTCACGTCAGTTTCCATAGTAGTTACTTTCTTTTTCATGCTGTAACACAAACATATAATAAATAAAAGAATGAACTAGAACCATGGGCAATCAAACAATTCATTGCATTGTACACACAATGTCATTCTCAGACGCAATAAAAGTGCCCTCTAACTGCATATTTAATGTAGTCCTTTCCTTATATAACAATCTGCATTATAGTTGGGGTAGAGGTAGAGATTGGCAGTTCTTTCAGAGTCTGCGAAAGAAAAGATGTAGTATTGTTTTTTGTAGTGGAATCCCAAGAATTAAAAAATTTACATGATAGTTGCACATGCAATAGGTGATTTTAGATTCACTACGTGATCTAGTGTATTGCGTGAAAAGAGCGAACTGAATGTATGCCACGGAAATTAAACGATTTGATTTTGAATTCAAATTTCGTTTTTATAGCTTAATGTTGGAATGCCGATCTTTGAGAGGGGAAGATTGTGTTAAGATACCCTTACCTAAGATACCAATCAATATTGAACATCATCAAATGTTTATATTAATAAGCGTGTAAATACACTGTACTTTCCCGTTTGTCAAATCCCATGTGATGTTTAATGTAATTACAATTTCACACATGCTGTGAGATCTCATGATGAATGGAAAATGGTCTAGTAGACAATATTATCACCATAACTAATTTTATTACTTTTTGTTAATGACACAATGGAATCGGAATGTTTATGCTAGTTTTAAACTGTTCAGCCACTCAGATGTTTCCAGTATCTCTTTATTACTAATAGCTTACTTAGTCTTAAAATTTATGTCATCAGAATAAAAATAGCATTGCACAGCCTGTGTATGCATCAAGCATAGATAAAAACAAAAGGAATTTAATTTATGTGGCATGAGGGCATAAGATCGTTTGTTTAGTTCATTTTAAGAACATTATTTAAGAATAATATATACTGCCTGCACTGCAGTGAGTTATGAATATATTCTCAAACATACATGCATGTCATAAGCCTCATGGCTACACTCGTACCAAATGTAAGATATTCTTTGATTGTGTGATGTACTACTGCCAAGTTACATGCATGGCTGCTGGCTGTACATATGACAAAATCCAGCATATAAAACTAAAAGAGATGTCTTCTGATAAAGAAACAATTCGTTAGTGAATGAATCTCGGCCAGTGGAATTGGCCTTCCCATTGAGTCTGTGGCACACTCACCCAGGGTAGGGGTCGACCCTTTGATGTTCAGCCTAATGCGACAACCACTATGCTACCAGTGACCGGCAGTAAATTGTTTATACAAATGAAAAAAGTTGACTGTTGTAATAAAAACATCACAATGTAACAACAATTCTTACTCTAGAAAAACTTCATTATTTTTCCTCTGTAAAGAAGGCCAATCTAAGTCTTCTTGATACAGTTGTGTTATCTTTGATTGGACAGCCATTAATTGGTCAATGCATTTCTCTTCTTGTGTTACCTTCCCATCAATCACATCTATGATACTTGAAAATCTAAAATAAAAATTAATTATGAAATTATGGTATTATGGAGTTGCTTTTCAGTGTGCCACCTAAAAAGACTGATTTTGTATGGATTATGAGTCAATATGGAATGCCAAATATCAAGTTGGTTCAGCTTGTTGACTGGTGTGCATAGAGATCTTCAATCAAGATTGTATATGGTTGGTCCGAGAGCGACTCCGAAGCTAACAAAAATGTCATAGCCTCTGATCTCCTTTGTTTTCACGCTTGCTCTGTTTACCTCAAGTACAGTATAATTTTTAAGAAAATTTTTCAATGTATTATTTTCTGTTGCGTCAATGACATGCAAGGGAATGAGCATAACTACTGATATTTGCATCACGAAAAATCTGTGTGTCAGAGACGCGTCATATTGCTTCAGAGGGCACACACTTGATCAACAGACCATACTCATTTGCATTTGTCACAGTATTCCCTGTCTCAAGTGACTTTGCAGTGGTGCTGGATTTATGAACTATACCAACATCAAGGTATTGACTATATTGAGTATTGAATAGGTACTCTACAAGCACACCGCATGCCTAGCGACTAAAGCCAAAAGCTGCAACAAACAAGCTTACCTCATTAATGTTTAACAACAACATAAATCTATTAAAGTTTCCTGTAACTTGAAGTTCTGTTAAATGTTAAAGCGCGGTGGTCGTTGAAAATTCAATTAATTTTTCTCCTTACTTGAAATCTTCTTTTTCAAATTGTATTTTCAGACTTTCTGTTGTTTCCTCCATCTTCTTGAATTGAGTCATTTCATCATTGAGATTCTTTTCCTTGCTTTCAATATTGTTCCGCTCTTCTTTTAATTTGATAGTCTCCTCTGCAAAATCAGCTGTTACAATGGAAATGTTTGCATCTTCTTCTGAAATCCCATTAGTTATTTCATTTTCTTTTTTTCTGAGTGCTGATAATTTCTGCTCAACCTCTAAAATTTCATTCTGTAAAAGCAAAACGAATGAAAGCAGTTAATCAATAGAAAATATACATAATTATTATACATCTGTCACCGTAACGCCATAAGTTACAGCGTGCCGTAATTTTGTGGTATTTTACAGGGTATTTTCATCCTACCATATAAGGAATTGAAAATTCCAAATATGGAATGATTATGCACGTAATTGTCTTCTAATAATAAAAACAAACATGGCTGCCACCAAGGTTTGACCGAACTCCACACAAAGAAGTTCGCTGATTCTGTTACAAACTTTTTGAATTTCGGCATTCCCATGATGTATCCTTGGAAGGAAAAGATGTATTCTAATCAGGTTATTATGAGGATACCTCAAAGTATGTACTCAGCTGTCACTGCGCGTGGTCGATACTTTCGCTGTACTGTCTTTGTGCATACTTTGAGGTATCCTCGTCATAACCTCATAATCTTTTCAGAATTATCAATTCCTAGCAATAGAGTATAGTCCGAGAATAATCTTGTATTAAAATTAGACAAATGAAAACAACTCTTCAAAATAAATTTAACTGTGGCATCATATCAAATGATAAGATAAGTAGGTTGAACTGCTTATAAATAATGAAATAAGTTTAGAAAGATAGATAAAACACTAATCAGAACTAAAAAGAATTTTACCTGAACATGAGAGAGCTGTTCTTGAAGTTCACATTTCTTTTCAATGTATGATGAGCATCTTTCTGCAATTTTACATTCCAATTGTTTTTCACATTTTTCTAAATGTTCTTTATCAATTGACAAATGACTGCAAAAAAAAACCAATTCATATATATGTTACTGTATGACAGGCTTCTTTATGTATCTCGTTTGATTTAAGTGATGCTGATGGTGTGAAAAGCGACTTGCTGATCAAATAAATGAGTCGTTTATTTAATGGCTGAGTAAATAAATGTTTTTTTTCACTGATTTTTCATATATATTACAAACAAAAAGGAGTTATTTTGCAAACAAATTATTTTGCACTGGATTTTAATAATGTTCTTCAGAATCATATTTTGTTGTTATTTTTTTTAAAAACGTTTTGCATGGATCAACCAGCCAAGGTGAACATACAAGCAGCTGCACCAAGGTTCCCCCAAAGTTGCATTTGTTAGTCAATGAATCTCGGATTTAGCCTTCCCATTGAGTCTGTGACAATCCCTTCTAATGTTAACCAAAGGTAAGATTTGAACTCTGATTAACTGATCATGAGTCTGATAAAACAACCACTATGCTACTGGTAACCGACATGATGTTAGCAAATGAAAATATTCTAAAGTGTTTTCAGAGAAAGAGAATATATAATTCCACAAATTATGGCTAGCGAATTAGTGACATTTAGATTTTCGAATTGGATGGAAAATTCCAATTCATTATTTATTCATTATTTAAATTTTTCAGCTATTACCGGAGATCAATTCATTAGGTATAAATTACCTGTGTAGCCATAGGGAAATGTGGTTGGTGGTTGAAAATTATTCGTAAATCATACAACCACAGTTATTTGAATATACACTTCAGGAATCCAGTGTCAACAAAAATTGACCCATAAATTACAAAAAGGAGCATTTCAGGTCATGT